CTGAGTGTTTGCTCAGGTTTGCACAAGTTCAGCCTCTTAGACCTCCACAAACATGTCTGGGCTGTTTAAGTTCCCTATGGCTGTCCAGTTCTCCAGGATTTTCATTAAATTACCAGCCAGGCTCTGATTTGCCCAGTTGAAATCACAGCCTTAGGCAGCTGAGATGTTGCCAGCAGTTTGCTACTGATTCAGTAATGTCCTGAAGTTGGCCCCCCTACACACACACACACACACACACACACACACAAAGAGAGAGAGAGAGAGAGGCAGAGAGAGAGAGAGAGAATCCATCAGTAGCCACAGTATCACAGAAAAGAGATTTCACAGGTATTTCAAGGTCAAACAAAATATTTACTGTACTCTAGGGATGATGCTTTTAACAAATCTCCAAAAGCAATCAGATCTCTCCCTTATCTGCAATGCTATCAATATCTGACTACCTATCTGCTGAACTGGGAATGAGAGGGTGAAAGAAATGGCTTCAACTTAAAATTTCATGAACCCCTGTTTTGCTGGACTTTGGTACTTGCTTTGGGATAGATAACTTTCAGTTCCATCTATGGTTTCAATTATTGCCATATTTCTTTAATGTTTGTTTTTAGTTATTTTTCTCCATTTTGGGGGGTGGTGGGATTACCAAGGATTGAGCTCAGGAATGCTTAACCACTGAGCAACATCCCCTGCCATTTATATATATATTTAAATGACCATGATTCAAATATATATATTTGATCATATATATATTTAAATCATGGTCTTGTTAAGTTGTTTAGGGCCTCACTAAGTTGCTGAGGTTGGTCTAAAATTTGTGATCCTCCTACCTCAGCCTCCCAAGTTGCTGAGATTAGAAGTGTGAGCCACCGGGTCCAGCTCTCATATTTTTATTGAGAGGGCAAGTAGGTCCACTGAAATCTTTATCCTGCCACTCCAGAAGACCACTCGGAAGTTCATTTCTCCATCCACTGTTAGAAATATGTTGTAATATTGTTTGACTAACTAAAATATTCTCCGGGCTGTTTTTTTTTATCCCAACATACATGTATTATAAAAGAACCTTGCCAAAATTAGTATAGAAGTGTCTAGAGAATGGTACCAAGAATGTACGTATGTAAATATTTACATACACAGACATGCATAAGGGAGGTACATATGCTTTCCCTCCCTTGTTTTAAAAATGATTTAACATGATGATAGGCTGATTTACCATGAGAACTTCCCATGACAAAACTGGCTGGAATAAGTTGGCAGCTGATAACAAGTTGGACCAAAATGTTATATGATTCCTGGAAGTCAGGGGATTTGTAAAGATCATTTTTAAAAAGTTAACTTTATCTCCCAGTGTCCCTTTACAGTTTAGTGATGCTGGCTTTTCTCTGCCATTGAGTAAAGATCTAGTGGCTCTCCCTTCCCCCTCAGGGACCCCTCCAGACATTTTACAGTAACAACAAGATCTATCATGAGTTTGAGTCACACTCACTCTCCATTCAGTAATGAAAATTACCCAGCTTAATTACCTACTTTGATCAGAAGTAAGACTTATCCCCACTGTATCCTTCCCGAGCTCAGCTTCTTGGATAAAGGAAAGGAACTTCAGTAGCTTCTCTTTCTCTGTCACTTTATCCTCACATACCTGTCTACTGTTGATCCCTTCCTCTGTGATTAGAAGAACGGAAGAGAAAAGAAGTAAAGGGAACAGAAAGGCTATCATTTGACCAGCCGTAAGCTGCCTGGTCTCCAGCAGACAGTTAAAGCCCAGGTTTTTCCTGGGATGCCTCCATGTTTCTTTGGAGTTTTGTGATGCTCTCACTCCAGTGCTCATATGTATCCCCTCTTTTCCTAGGACCTTGTGATAAAGACCCCAGCCTTGAAAGCAAGCTCCCTGAGGGGAAACTTGCATTTGGCTGCAGTATTCCAAGTTGCCCTGTTTTCATACATGAAGACTACTCAGGATGTCCACCTTGTGTTACTGTGTTACTGCCTCCCATGGCGACTTAGCTATACAAGCCTCATTTCTTTTATTTGTTTATTTTATTTTTTTTTTATGGTCCAGGGATTGAACCTAGGGAACTTAACCACTGAGTAACATCCCCAGTCCTTTTAAGATTTTGTTTTGAGACAGAGTCTTGCTGCATTGCTTAGAGCCTCCCTAATTTGCTGAGGCTGGCTTTGAACTTGGAATTATCCTGCCTCAGCCTCCCGAGCCACTGGGATTACAGGCCTGCTCCACTGTACCCAGCAATTTTTGACTCTTGAATCAAATTATGTGCTTCTCCCAGCCACAAATGACATCATGTGTTCTTTATAACTTTGTCATCATCTTTACTGTAATTCACAGTTGAGTAAATATGAAATGCTAGTTACTGTCAGTAGCTCACACATATTGAGCATTTATTAGGCCTTGTCCAAATTGACATTGATTTACGGTACTTATTAGCACTGTTTACAGATAGTATCACATGCAATTTATGGGGTAGATAAAGAAAGCCACGGGATAGGTATTACACCCATTTTGTGTATGAGGAAGACGAGCTGCAAGGAGATTAGGCAAATGATTCCTGAGCACGTATCTGGTGGTAGCAGAAACATGTTTTAGCTCATTGTTTTAATTCCAAAATTCATATGCCTTCACCCTCTGATAGGTTATCTCCCTCATGTCCCAGTGACTCTAACACTAATTTCTCAGGTGGTCTTGAGCAGGTAATCTCCTAGTTTTCTTAAATTTCCTGTCTATAAAAGGAAGGGTAGACAGGGTCACTCCTGCTCTGTCATTCTGTGGTTCCAGGAAGACGTCCTTGCATGGAGCTTTGTCCATTTGATGGTCACACACTGACCAGCTCCAACAATAATTGTGGCAACGATCTCTTTCCTCCCCATGCATTCCCTCACTTCACCTTTATGGCTTTTCCCGGTGTCACTGAGTATCAGGAATAGAGCCTCAGAAACAGCTGCAAAACTAACAACAACAAAGGAAAAAAAAAAAACAAAACAAGAAGCCCTGCATTCTGACTCCTCAACACTTGAACATTTTTGTGCTTCCTTGACCTTTAGATGCTTGAATTCAGCACTTGAACTTATCTAGCCTCACAAACTTAACAGCAGGACCATAATAAATAAAAAGAAAAAAGTTTGGGACATATTATCTGCTAACTCTTAAAAGGAAAATTCTTCTCTATCACTTTCTGTGGGACAAACTTTCTCACTAGGACTATTTTCTCTGAACTGCCCCCACCCTTCTTCCTGCTCTTTCCACCTTGGTTTTCTCTCCTTTCTTACTGGGTAATAGGTTTCCAGAGTGCTTAAAAATACAAAGCCTGATGCACTGACCTGACCTTAACACTGAAACCCTTTTTTGAGCCATGTGAAAAGCATCAAGGGAAACTTTGCTCATAAGTCTAAAAAGCCCAGCACATACAGGTTTGATTTTATGCAAGATATCCAGAATATTGATCTGACATAAAGTTTCTCAAGGGTGGCAATGCAGTCTCATTTCTCTAGAAATCATAATTGAATATCATCAAATTATCACTTGAAAAGAGGTTACAAATCAACCATGGAGAAGTAGAAGAGAAGCTTGGATCTGGCGCCATGTTTGAAGTCAACAGAAAGTCTAAAAATGACAAGCAGCAGGTAATCAGCTCTAGAGTTCACCATCACTAGCAGATCCATGAATGGTATTTGTGCATTTGTTCTGTATCCTGCACCCATCTCAACAGTTTCTGGCAGGAGGATCCATAACAAGTCGATATGCAACAAAGCCAATAAACACAGCTGGTGGAAGTTTAGGTATAATAAGTACAACGCCATATGTCCATGTGGGACAAAGAGATTTGCACAGCCCCAGGGATCCAGATCCTATCTTGACAAGCCATGCCTGTGTATGACTGGTTGAAGGGCAAAGGCTTCACAATCTATGGTGAGCAAAACAGTATTAAGTTTGCATAATCTGACAAACAAGACAAGTGAGGATGATAGTCAATTCTCATTGATTCATTACTACCAGAGAGCAGGGTGCTATGGCTTATACTAGAATCATTTCAATCTGGCTTTGATTAAGTCATTTTGAAAAGGATTAAACACATTTACCTAATATGACAATTGTTACACAGCCAGTCTATGGTGGCTGTGAATCTGGAATCCAGGTTTTATGACTACCTTACATTTCTATCAGATTATTTTCCAAATTGTGAGCAAATTCCAGCATTGGACAGTATGAGGAACAAGACAGACATGACTCTAAAGAGGGAGATACAGACCTAGGATCCTTTCTCTAACTTTTCTCAGATCCTGAAGACAGCACTAAGGGAGAACAAGAAGACTGGCTAGAACTGCATGCAGAAACAAAATCACATATCTGCTGATGGCCTTAATTATTTAGCTATTGTTATTTATTTCACATTTGTCACCTCCTGGCATTATTGAAGCTTTTAGCAAGTCCATTTATTAGTTTCTGTGTATCATTGAGCTTTATTATGTCATTTTTGTCTGTTTCTCTAAAGTAACTCAAGTCTAGATGTGGGGTCTCTGTCACAAATGTCTGTATAAACCAACTCTTCAGCTGTGTCTCTGGCAAGAACTTACTCTGAAGAAGATAAGACTGAGTTCACGTGTCCAGTCTAATGGAGTTTGTGAAAGATTTTGTGGTCAGGAGAAAACTTTATCATCATATTGCTCTACTAGATATGTCTATTCCCAAGAAAATAATAAAGACTAGAATAATTGGATCACTTCTAATGGCAATGCATGAACTGAAAATCAGCCCGATGCACACAAAAACGGTTGCTAACATTCATATCCTAACAGTTGCAAAATGCTTTCCCACCATCCCTGCCTTGATGAGCTTCTTCCTCTCATTTCTATTGTCTTTTGCAATCTCTGACAAATGCTGCTGTTATAATAAGAGGGAGAAAAAGGAAAAAAAAATGAACTGACCACTCTCAAAGTTTGGCAGATTATAAACACCACCTAATTGCATACCTGGTGTTATTATTATCTCATGAGTATTACAGTTGAACTGAGGAATTTATTAACTCAGTAGCTTAAAATCATCATGAGGGATTCAGGACTTTTTTCCCATTGTCAGCATGACATCCTCAGTCTGTTTTCTTTCATCCTTAGGCTTGTTTCTCATCATTGCAAGATGGCTTCTGAAGTTTCATCTATTGAAGGAGTTACAAAAAAAAAAAAAAAAACATTAAAGGGTAGCAGAAAAGAGAAGTAACTCCTTTAGCATGAATATTTACCAGTGAGGAGAAGCATTCCAAGAATCATTCAACAGACTCCCTTTCGTGTCTCATTATCCAATGCTGTATGCCATGTCAGTGCTTAAACCATTCATTGTGAAGGGCAATGAAAGTAGCTATGATTGGCTAAAACTAGATCTTACTCATCTCCTTGTTGCTGTAATAAAGGCAAGCTTGCCACCCCACCTCAAGGATTAAGGGGAACAACCAGAAGTAAATACTAATTTGATAGGGTCATAGCAAGATAAGATGGAAACCCGAGAAGTTTGGAAACCCAGAAAATGAATCTGATTTGAAATATAGAATAGTTAACTAGAGTGGCAAAGCCAGCAATTGCAACAGGTTTTTTGATGCTTCATAACACTGGTAAATGTTATGGAATAAGAGCAGATACTATTGGCAGTTCTGTAGTATAGAGATGCTTCTGTGTGACTAAGTTTAAATTAAGTTAGCCTTCTGCACCATCATGCACCATCACATCCCCTGACCCCAGGAAAAAATTCCAGCTATATTTACCATATGGCATCAATTCTAAGAACACTAAGTTATAGAATTGTCCATTGGTCATTATTATGCATGATCTCACATTGAAAATGGTGTTAAACAGCACTTAGAAAAACATTCATTGTACAAAATCAATGCTCACTAGAGACATCACCAAGTACTACAGCAGCTCCAGACCATGGAGAGGATGTTTAACTGGAAGTAAAATAAATAAATATATAAAACATTAAGACTGTCAGAAAGATGTTTGTGAACCTGTCAGTGATAAGTTTGCAAATACAGGCACTGTAGGTACTGAAATTATGTTTGGAAAGTGAATTATTGTTCAGTACAAGGTGCTTGATTGGCTATCCATATCCTTTTTATCAATTGTCCCCTCAGGAAAGATCATGAAATAGTGAAGGAGTGGAGTCCTTGCACAGCCACTCAAATGATCCCAGCAAAGAGGAGAGACCACCCCCCCTCCAGGTGCCCACAACTATGGAATGAGCTCACTGAGTGGGTCACTAATTATTAAGGTTTAAGAAGGAGCACAGGTTGTGACCTGAGAGATAAATTAGAGATGTATTTAGAAGAGAAGTAAGTCTAACTACTATGTGGTGGAGAAAGAGGGATTTGGAGAAGGGAGAAAGCAACCAAGAAATACTTATTCCTCCTTTCCAAGTAAAGTTTTCTCAAGACCAAAGTGTGATTCACTACAAGATTCATTATTCCTTTCTCCATTCCTTATTAAATTTTCTGCCTCCCAGCTCTGCCTTCTCCACTTCGGTAATTCATTAACAAACACATTTATTAGACACAAAGTTTATGAAGGTGGCACTGCTTTTGGAAAGCTGGGTAACAAATCGCCATCATCTCAAAAGTACAAGATGGAACAGCATTACCATGCAAGGGGACAAAGCTATAAAAGCAAGATCTGTAAAATAGGATAGAGTGTGCTGCAAGAAATATTGTGCTTAATTAAAAAAAACTGTTATACCAACTTCTTCAAATTTATAATCCACTGTTGGCAGCCTGAACATCTCATTCCATCAAGTTTATTTTCATCTGACCCAGTCTTCCACATCCCAGTGTTGCCATCTTGTTCATCCCTGTCCAATTAGTAACATCCTTTGGAAAACCTTCTCTTGAGTTCTATTCCTTTGATGAAGCTCTTTTCACCACTTTAAGCAATGTTGGTCTTTCCTTGAATCACTTTGTACTTAGTATTTGTTCTGATCATTGGATACCTTGCTGTACGTATTTCCTTGCCCTACTATAATTATGCCTCATTTAATTAAAAAATAATAATAAATAAATAAATAAATAAAATGTTATATAGAATAAAAAAAGAGAGAAAAAAAAAGGTGTTCCACAGTTTCAAGTAAACATCTCAGGCCTGGGTCTATGTTTTAGCATCCCTGGTTTCATGGGCCTATGGTTTTCCAAAGGCCGCAATAGAAATGACCTTGAACCACGTAATCAGACTCAATTAAAATTTTGTACAAGTCAAAGGAAAGAGTGGAAGAAATGGACACATATGTTGCAAGGTCATGAATTAGATTATGATAAGTTAATTATTCATATTGTAAACACCAGAAAGTACTCAAAAATTACATAAGGCATTTCAAAAAAACCAATACTGAAGACACAGTGAAATTATGTACAATGTTAAGTTAATCCAAAAGGAAAGAAAACAAGAAAATGGAATAAAAAACAGATGGAATGAAAAGAAAACAAATAGTAAGACAGTAAATATAAACCAAACTATATTAATAATTGTATTGCTATAAATATTCATCATATAGTAAAGAGTGGATATATTAAAATATCTAATTTAAATTTCAGTCTTTTAAAAAGCAAGCCCTAGTCCGACATGGTGGCACATGCCTATAATCCCAGCTGCTTGGGAGGATTGAGAGTTCAAAGCCAGCCTCAGCAAAAGTCTCACTAAGCAACCCAGTATGATCTTGTCTCTAAATAAAATACAAAATAGGGCTGGGGATGTGACACAGTGGTCAATTGCCCCTGAGTTCATTCCACTGTACACACACCCCCCCAAAAAAAAGCAAGCCTTGTCTATTGTCTATAGAAAAATTCACTTTAAATATAGAAACATAGATAAATTATAAGTAAACAAAAGGAAAAGAATGCAAATAATAATGAAAAAAGCTGGGTCCCTGTGTTAATATCAGAAAATAATTAATCAGCATACAGTAAATATTCCCAAGGAATGCCAATAATGATTAATTTAATAATTAATGAGTCTATATATGTGATCATTTTTAATCAAAATCTCAATAGGTTTTCTTTGTCAAAATTGACAACTGATTCTACATTTTGTATTCAGATTACTTGGTTTTGAGAAAAGGATTAATTTTTGATTGATAAAGAAGTCTTTGAATAAATCAAAAAAGAGGAGGTTAAGACAGCTGTGGCATAGGGACACTGAGTGGCCTGGAAAAGAATTACAAAACTGCCACTGGATGGCTATCACTCTCTATTCAGTGGGCAGTGAGGCATCAGCTACAACAGCAGTTGGTCAGCTATCTGAAAATCCTAAAGAGGGAACTAACATTTGGGAATGGCTTCTGAATTTAATGGGAGGATGAGGAGGTTAGGCGTACATAAAAGAATTCTAAAAAGAGGGCTGAGAGCTGAGTTCAGTCTGGAAAGTGTGTATTTGTACAGGCACCTTTGGGTGACTTACTCCCTGTAATTCTCAGAGGCTAGAGTGTAGCATGGTTTATATGACTGCAAATGTGCTATTTACAGTAGGCTGGTCTCCTTGTGGCCTAGAAAGGTGTAGTGATCAGGAGTTGGTAAATAATGAAAGCAACAATAAATGATTGTTGTAGAATGTAGCCAAATGATATGGTTGCCAAAATTACATTCTTTTCATGAATGAAGAGTAGACACAAAAACGCTAGCTCCTGTACACGGATCACCCCCCACACACACACACATACACATGCAGGGCACAGGCACATATGAAACAAGAGTGATATGTGACTAAAGTTAGCTCTAAGGAATCTTATTTTGGGATGAAATCATTAGAGAACCCGATTGCTGGGAGATGTGAAGCTTCTTTTTGAAGGTCATGCATGCAGACAATATTAGAAACAAATAAAAACCTGGAGTCCATGGAGATTAAGCTTCCATGTTTAGAGACAAGAAAATTACGTTCAAAGAATGTCTTACATATGGAGAAACACATCTGTCAATGATATTGAAAGTAAACTGCACTGGTTTGGGGAATCATTTGGACTTATTCAAAATCATTGCTTATAGTTGCTTGTATTTGTTTTTTTTTTGTTGTTGTTGTTATTTTGTTTTGTTTCAATGAGCAAAGAGAATTGCAGCTTGGGATGGTTTCAGCTTGAGACATGGAACTTTAAAAGGCTTTGTTTTCACCCCTACAACAACAGCAAAACCCAACAAAGAACAAATTTGTAATTTGTCATGAACCCATTAGGGTAACCAGCAATCTAAGGAGGAAACAGATGCTTCAAGAAGAGTCAGAATCTTAGTCCTACTTACCTGGGGCAGATACAACTCTTCACAAAGAATTCAACAAAGTTGTCAATGCAAAGACAGGAGAACATAGAACACCCGGGGAGAAGATATAAAGGAACTTGCACCCACTTCCAAGCCCTTGTGCCCATACCACCTAAAAAAAAAAAAAATGACAATATGTGCTTGCTCCCAAAGCCTGTATAAGATTATTTATAGCAGTTTTATGTGTGATGACCCCAAACAAGAAACAACCTAGATATCCTTCAGCCACCAAACTGATAAACCAACTATAATACCCCCATGCAACAGAATATACTTCAGCAAGAAAGGAACAAACTATCAATATGTACAACATGATGAATCTCAAATGTATTTTGTTCAGCTAAAAAAAAGAAGAAGAAGAAGAAAAAGCCAAAAGGCTACAAACTGCATTTTTCTTTTTATATGACAACTGGAAAATGTAAAAGCAGAGCAGAGATCAATGGTTGCCAGGGAGGAGAACAGGGAGAAGTGTCGACTTTTAAAGAGTTGGGTTAGAACATTCTGCCTCCCTTGACCTTTCACACAGAGTATCAGCTTCCTTCCAAAGAACAGGGGCTCCAACAGTCATTTGGGGAAGTGCTGGTGTAATAGAGAAAACTAGCTTTGGGGTTAAAGAAACTCAAGTCAGAATCTCTAGTTCTTGCAGAAATATGACCTTGACTAAGGTATGAAGCCTCTCTAAATCCCAGTCTCCTCATCTGTTACATAAGAGTTGTCAAAATCTACTGAACAATGAGTATAAAAAACTTATAAGAAAATCGATTCCTCTCCCTTCTTTCCTTTGCTCCTTCTAAAAGATTACTCTTGAATGTCAGTAAGTCCTGGCATTATCGGCTCTCCTCTCTCCTTGCAGAAATCAGATGTGCTGTTCCCTTGTGATTTCCAAAGCCAGATAGTGACACACGTCAGAATGTTTCTAAAATATTAGTACTTGTGTTGTGATTGAAGATCTGAAGGTATCTCCTATGAATAAATTAGGCATTCTTTTGTGAGATTCATGTTTTGTGGAAGCCAACCATGGATTTAGCTATGAGGAGCTCTGAAGCAAGAACAAGGGTAATGAGCAGGCATCGAAAAATCTTGGATATTAAAAATAACCCCCCAGAAGGCAAAATGACCTCCATTTGTTTATGCTCTCCAGCCCACGCTGAGCAAGCTGCCACAGAGCTTTATTATACAACCGCAGAGAAAGATGATTTTCCCCCACATATTTAATAATGATTTGGGGATTTTGTTAAATGAGAAAGTAAAAGCTAAGGGCAATCTCTTGCAGTCTCCTTGTCCCTCACACGGAGAGAAAAACAGTCAGGAAGCTACTGAGAAGTGGTTCAGGGGTGATCCAGAAGCAGGGTGGACCAACAGAGAGGACACAGTGGACAGACAGCCAATTTCAGTACTCTATCATCCCTTCACCCCATGTCCCCCAGATCTTGCCCAGGAGAAATGATTCTGGCATTTCAG